CGTATAAGCCAATAACACCGCCAGTCGAACAATGGACATACACGGCACGTTAACACAAAACGAGTAACTATTGGTCATTGCGAGACATACAGGCGCCAATATGTTCGGATCTTATTAATTTCTAGACACTTTTCCATCAGAAATTGACAATCAATTCTATTATAGGGAGCGTGCTACTGTAATGTTCCATTATGACGACCACCACTGTGATAGTCAATGCGACATTTAAAGAAATGTTTGCAGCAATTTGATGTGGGTTTTTTTATGTAAAAGGTTGCACTATTTTATTATTTAGCCTGTGCAAATATAATGTAGTAATAATCGAAAAAAAACCCCATGATCACAGTAATTGTCGTCGATGTTGTTAAACGCGAAGTCAATAAAAGAAACATTTATGAGTCCATTACTGAATAGACGAGTGTTTTGTGGAAACGTTCCGGAGATTAGGCATTTTAAGCGAGGATCCAATCAAGGCGACGATGTGAAGAAATATAAATAATTGTGTTTTTGGTCAATCATTATCGTGTTTTCGCTAAAGTTGGGATAGAGTCTGCAGGCATTGGTTCAGTGAAACCATGGAAGGTGAAACCGTACAAACATCGCGGTGTTATACAATACGCATACGTTCTTTGGAATAGAAGAGTTTTTATATTTTACATGTAAATCAGTCATAATGACGAAAAAATGAAGTAGCAACGTTGATTCGTAGACACTTTTCAAAGACAAAAAAGGCGCACCATTCATTCAATTCATTCATAAACATCTCCTGCATTAGATTGGCATAAATAGTTGCGTCATCACATCACAAAATTTGCCTGTCTCATCGGTCTTTAAACGCCGCATATTCTTTACAATTTACCTTGCATTTCACAGACAGTTTTAAAAGTCATCAAATAATGTGTATATGCCCAGAATACGTGGCGATACAACTCGTCTAAATTGTAATTGAATGTTTTGGTGTTTAGACTTCTGGCAGTCACACCGCGTGTCGCATCGATAGCGAACGATGTGATAACAGAGAAATCAATTATATCTCGTCAATCAACAATGAAATACCGTACTCGACCGCGTTAGCGCCCAGGGGCCTCAACTCAGAAAATCACGATTTTTTAGGGTTGGGCGCTTACCCGAGCACCCCCCCTCGAAAAAGAGTGCAAATGAAAAATTTTATTCATCAAGTGACAGATTACGTCTTTGAGGGAAATCAAATTACGAAATTAGTTGAGTCGTCATTGATTTTCACAATGAAGGAACAGAAATGATCACAAAAAATATGCACATTTTATTACAATATTAATTACGTACCACCAGAATTTACGAAATTAAAAATATTTGAGTCTGTTGGAACACAGTCGAAGTCAAAATTGTCATATTATCTCCACTGACGAACGTTGCAGTGGCGTCCTTTGACCTAA